CTCCAATGTTGCAGATCCATACAATCGGGGGTTCAAGCCCTTGAGGCCTCCACGTCCCCTTCAAATCAGTAATACGTGTTTTTGCAATATGTTTGCAACCTCTATATCGCACACATATTCGATTGTTCATTGACGCCCAAAAAACTAAAGCCATGGGATAATTTGAAATCGCTCCAAAGTCAAACCATGTCTACAAAAAATAGAGAAGTTAAAAATAAATCAGAATTAAGCATATTAAATATAACTTTATAAATAATTACTGGAAGATACTGGAACATGCCATCCATTTCGGCTTTAGGAACTTCTTTCCATGTGTTCTTATCAAAAGCAATGTCGCGCCACATATAGTTCATAGCCTCCCGAATGAAGCGTTAGTACACTTCCACAATCGGCATGTAAGTATTTCTACCAAATACTATCTTTAGAGGTCGTTTTCCGTTAGATTGAAATCACTTGTACATTTTTATGTTTACTGACATGCCTCTTCATTAACGGGGCACCGATGCATAAAAAAGTATTAGTCAAGATAGTTTTTTATATACATACAATATGAAATAAAAAGAATTAGAATAAATCTTAATTGCCATCGATAAGGTGATCACCAAAACCTCCACGGAAGGTATGTGGTGGCTCATCACAACCGTCACCTTAATAGCCCATAACAATATAAAAAATGACATCCTGAAAAATTATAACACAATATAAATATAGATACATACAATATGATATGATTACAAAAAATACAAACCTTACTTTACTAGTCAAATGTAAAGATTTTTTTAATCATTCTCGCCATCAGACAGTTTAGTGTCTGATGACACATCACTATCATAATCGAAATCATCGTCATCATAATCAGTCTCGCGGTCAGACACATTATTGACAATACATATTGGCGGACTAACTTCAATATCATCTTCAACTGATTGTGAATTTTGTAAGTACTTGCTAAATTCGATTAAAAGAGTTAAATTAGAAGAAGCATTACTAAGAACGACATTGGCTGAATCATTGTCAACATTTTCAATGGGATCATGGTCGACATCGTTCAACGATAGATCCCAAATTCTTCTATGATTAACATTTTGAACAACCCATTGTTGGTCGTTATTTTCATTACTTCGAGAAAGTTCTCGGATGTAAAACACTTGATTTGCCTACGAAGCAAATATGAGCTGATCTTCGTTGCTCAATTCGCGTTATGATTTAATACTGGTGAAGTTATTATCATATTTGACTCCTACAGTATCGAAAAACATGCAGCGAAAAAATACAGTGGAATAAGTACGAGGATAATGCAACTCGATAATCTCTTCTAGATGACTATAATATATCTTAGTATTCTCTTCTTGATCAGTTAAAACCCCCAAGTTTTGTGTTGATTATTGGTCATCACACATAAGTACCATAAACCTAACACCATTCACTATGCAAGCGGTGTAATTACAAGCATTCGCATGCACACCAATTGAAGAGACAATAACACCTTGTTAAACTATGGTAATTTTGTTTTTGAATATCATAGACGGTGTGAAGAGACCTTTTAAGGAATTTGGTTTTTTCATCACTTTCAAGATGTAATGATTTGAATTCACTACATTGATTCAAAAAGATATAGATTTAGTAAAAAGAGAGAAGTTAAAAAACAGACAATGAATTAAAAAATAAGAACACTTACACAAATTACTTTCTGACTTCGTCACAACTATCAAGTACAAACCATTGTAGATATTTTCTCTCCTTTATACCTAGCCTTTTCATTTTCATTGTGCTAGTCGGTCAACATTTAGAGTGAAACACCCATAACTTTGTTTCTTCTATGACAACATCCTCGTTTCTTTCGAGGTGATTGAATCGGGTCTCTACATCTTTAAGGTGCATCAAACAAAATGATAATGCCTCTTTAGTGACATAACCTCAACTATAGAACCTTCCGGCTCGCCTTGTTTCTGAAATATTTTTTAGTTTTTTCATATACCTTTCGAAGGGATAAATCCATCTTATACATGTCGGTCCTCCGAAAATAGCTTCATTAGGTAAATGCAAAACTAAATAAACCATAATATCAAAAAACACAAGAGAAAAAGATCACTTCTAATCTGTATAATATTTAAATAATGGCTACTTTCGCTTCTTTCATATCCTTCACCGATAGTCTTCTCAAGAAAAGTTGCTTAAAAATGTAAAAAGTTCTACTATCGGTGTATAAGTACCTTTAGGGAAAATCCCTTTAACTCTAATGGGTAACAAATGTTGCATAAGATATGAGTCTGAATAGACTCGCCGAGTCGATGAGCCGACTCGACGGGTCGGTTAAGGTTGTCCCGATAAGCTGGACTGTGCAATAGCTCGGTGAGTTAGGGGTTAACTCGACGAGTTAGACCTTCACGAGACTTCTGAGAAACGAGTAGACTCGACGAGTCACATGAGTGCACTCGACGAGTCAGGTTAAACTTGGACTGTTGACTCGAGTTTGACTTTTGTTGACTTTAGGGTTTGGTCAACATGAGTAATGGAGACCATGGAAGGGTAAAATGGTCCTATTCCTATTCCAAGAGTTAAAGAGAAAGAGAAAACAACCTTTGGAGTATCTCAGTATGAGTAGAGTATTAATTAGAGATAATTATCCTATGTGTTAAGCGGAGGCTGGTTTAAAGATTTCTGAGTACAACACTTTTACTTGCTAGCTTACAAGGTGAGTCTTCTCACTATACTTACCAAGAGTGGTATCCTTGTGTGTCCGAGATGTTGATTGTGCTTACATGTTTATCTTAATATTCTGCATTATGTCTTTCTGATTAATGCTGAGTGTTATTATTATGAGCTTATTGAGTTGAGGCCGGAGGGTCCCACTGAGACACATTGACTAGAGGGTCTTATTTGAGTTATAGCCTAGAGTGGCTAAGGAGCCGTGTGTGGTATTTTGGAGAACGCACTAAGCTTCGTGCTTACCGTTTTATGTGTTATGCGTTTCAAGTACTTCTCAGGATCACGGGAAGGCGCCGGCTTGATTGTACACACATCAAAGTTTGAGTTATGATTAAGAGGATCCTGAAGTTTTGATATATATATATATATATATATATATATATATATATATATATATATATATATATATATATATATATATATATATACAATTTTTTGATATGAGATTTGATGACTTGACAATGTGACATTTTTGTGATTTTATTATTGCGAAAAATGTGTTATTAAATTGAAAAATCTGGTTTGAAAATTTACGTATTTACAATTCAACATTTAAATATCGCACCATTAGTAAAGTAACTTATACAATAATAAAAAATTAATATTCTATGATGCAAGTGAAACATATATATAAAAGGAAGGGTTAGATAGTTGAAAGTCTAAAAAAATTCAAATCCCGCACATCTCATGTAAATTGTAAAAGTCAAAAGTGAATACTTTTTTAATACTATAAAAATGAAAGAAAATAGTTAACCATTACCTAAAGATTATCTGTAAATGAGAACATAATTTACCCAGATATAAATGAGAAGATTATTTACTACTTGATTTCTCATCAAACTTTTTTTCCTTTAAATCAAACACTTTTCCCACTTTAACCCCCCCCCCCCCCCTCTCAAATCGACCTTGCTTAAGTATTCATCATTTCGTTTGTATTTATTTTAAAATTTTACTTTAAAAAATAGTTAATATTTACACCTAGATACTTAACTTTTTTTTTAAATGTTTAATATTTATATCATCATATATAATTTTTTTTAATGAACCCATGTAGTACGGATGTCTTACAACTAGTTTTTTCAACAAAACAAACCACTACACCCATTTTTCATATATAGGTGTGTGAAAAAAAAAACCGAAACCAAACCAAAAAAACTGATCCATTTGAAAAACCGATGGTTTGGTTTTTGTTTTTAGAAAAATTGATTTTGTGGTTCACTTTGGTTTTTTTGAAACCGGAAAAAAAAACGAACCAAACCAAAATATACAAAATGACATCGTTCTACATATAAATATCACATCATTAGTAAAGTAATTTATAAAATAATAAAAATTAATATTTGATGTTGCATGTGAAGCACATATATGATAGGAAGTGTTAGATGATTAAAACACTAAAAAAATCAAATCCTACACATCTCATATCAAGAGTGTGAGTATTTTTCTATACTAAAAAATAAAAAAATAGTTAATTAGTCATCACATAACAATTATTTGTAAATGAGAAGATAATTTACACATATAAATAATTCACACAATCTTTTTTTTTTATAGTAATCTTCATTTTATTTAAATGGTTGACACATATTTGTATTTGAGTATATATTAAATAATTATGAACTTTTAAAATCTAATGAGCATAATCTAATAATTTGTTAATGAAAAATCTAAGAATAAGAATTAACTGAATAACCAAAAAAACCCAAAAAACAAATAAAACCAAAAGCGAAAAAAAACCAACCGATTGTTTATCAAAATTAAAAAACCAAACACTTTTGTAGGGTTTTGGTTTTAACTAACAACAAACCAAATCATATTTACCCCTAATTTTTCTTATCAATTATATACACTTTATTAATATTTAAGTTAATAATCAAAATTTAAAAACAACGAAACATCAAATATTAATCGAAATTCTTTTTAGAAATTAATAATTAACATTTAAAATTATTTTTACACATAAAAAGTGTTTACAATTAAAAACGTGTTTCGTGATCGATGCACAAAGATTCATATACAATATGTATCTTATCGACTTATTCTTCTCAAACAGAATATCGCCTCAATTCTTTTATATACTCTATTTATTTAAATTTAAATGTTAACCTTCAGAATCCTTGTAGATTTCAAATATAACTTTCCTTTTCGTAGTTCTTGACTCGACGTACTACTCGTCCCTACAACCGTTCCCTATAAATACAAATCCTAACACAACCTTTTCAAAACACCATTAATCGTCAAAATCTTTCCGGATTGCAAATATTCATCAGAGAAAAATTCAAGGACAAAAGATGACAGGTTTCAAGTTCAATTTGGCATTGATGATGGCGCTCATGCTTGCATCTGTGCAGTTTCAAGGCACGGCGGCTCAAACTACCCATGTGGTCGGCAACGCCTTGGGCTGGAATATTCCTCCCAACGGACCTTCTGCTTACACCACCTGGGCATCAACTCAGACCTTCAGAGTCGGCAATGTTCTTCTCTTTAACTTCAGAGTCGGCAACGCCGTGGAGACGACAATTTCAGACCCTATGGAGACGACAAGTCGTCGGCATAGGGTATCGCGACGACAAGTCGTTGGAAAAAACTCGTCGGCATAGGCGTGTCGGCATAGGTCTGTTAGGTCGTCGGCATAGATGTTGTCGGTATAGCTCGCTCTATTGCGACGACATGTCGTCGGAACAGATTTAGTCAACAACATTTTCGGGGAAAAAAAAATAAAGTTTTACGACGCCGTGTTGTCGCTATAGGGTTTTATCAGTTAACTGTTATGGATCTATAGCGACGACTAGTCGTCGGGATAGCTACTGGTTGGTTTTTTTTAGCTTTACAGGTTTTGTACATTACCATTCCTGCATTTTTAACAAATCCAAAAAATATTGCAGCATATATCAATTGAAATACATTAACTAGGTACCATTGCTCAAATTCAAAACATCAAATTCAAGTTTAATATTACAATAAGTAGTTAACTAACATTGTTCATAATAATAAAAAAACATCAATCATCATTATCATAATCGTCTTCTTCTTCTTCTTCTTCTTCTTCTTCTTCTTCTTCTTCTCCTTCTTCTTCCATCCTTTCGGCAAATTGTTGAGAGCTACTTGCTTGTGTGTTATAGTTGAATAGAAAGTTAGGGAAATGGTGGTGGTTGAAAGTTCAGAATGCAAGCCGCCAATGATGCATTATATTGTTGCAAATATTCTTGCATTTGTTGTGCATCGAATTGGAATTGAGATTGGGGTTGAGCTTGAGATGATTTGGAAGTGGAAGGTCGTTCATTTGGAATTAAACCGAAGTTGGCGGTTGGTCTCCTACCCACCCCGCGAGCATGTCCACGTCTCGTCCCAAGGGCACGTTCTAAACATTCTTCCTCGTTTACTTCTCCTCCTTCCCCAACCTTGTTTTGCATTTTCTCATATTCATTTTGAATTTTCTCCTAAAATAAAGAAAACAATTAACATACGTTAATTAAAACAAACAACTAAACTTAAACATTCAAAAAATAATAATATTCCTTAAACAAGAAACTATAATTAATAATAATATATTTAAACAACATATTTATTTCGTTTATCACTTACCCAGTCTTCTTCTGCTCGACTTGTACACCAACCCGAGCCTTCTTTGTAGCGCATTTTTCTCCAACCCTCAATATGTTGCGGCTTGATTCCCATTTGTTCCTATAATAAGTGAAAAAATAATAAATATATTTGTACAAATGTTAATAACAATTTTAAATAATACTAATGTATTTTATTACCTCTAAATAATGCCGTTGATCATAGGGTCTACATCCGTGAGCACTTGTGTGTGGAAGTTTCGACCTAGTAACTTTATTTTTTTCCGACGTGCGTCTGTATTCCTCGGTCAAAAACAACAAATTAATCATATCGTTCCAAGCTTGGGCGGCCCAATCATTCGGTGGGTGTCTTCTTGCCCTTTCCACATTACAATATCCACCAACTCCTTCAAAATGTCTTTTTATTTGATACTTACGCTCTCGATAAGCTCTTTGCATATCTGCTTGGATACCCACTCGAAGGGGTTCCGACAAGTTTGTGCCCCGATACCTATTAATATCAAAATAAGTCTGCAAAAGGAAAAACATATTTGATTAGTAAAAAAATATTTAATAAGTGTAAAATTCAATACATATAAAATATATTGTATATATACCTCTAGCTCGGCATATAAATCAACTTTGTACTTGGTAGGAACACGACGCCAAGTATGATAATGCAACGGTACCTTTGATCCCACCAGATTTGAGATCAGTCTGACAAATATTTGCCCCTTGTCCCCTATAAATCGATACGTCCGCCCGGAGATATCAATTCTCAAATCCAAAGGCCTACATTTGTTTTTTTCATGCTCCTCGTACAAATTTAAGTTTCTCCCTTTGCCACGCATATTCACATTCACATTCTTCGCTTGTGCTATATTTACATATACAATTGGAAATTTAGAAATTTAAAACTTTAATATATATAATAATTAGAAATTCCATATAACTTACACGATTGACAACCCGATGGTACACCGCATGCAATCCCGTGTGGAGGTCTATCCCCACCGTCTCCTCCGTATCCCCTCGCGACTTATGCCATCTATTTAACAAATATTATAAACATTCAGAAAATATAATAAAACTAAAAATAAGCAACATTTCAAAATTTAACAAATATTATAAGCAATCACGACATATAATAACAATAACATATCGTCAATCAGATTCATCACTAGAACAATATACATGTACAACATCATTATCACTGTCATAGTTTTCATTATTTATTTCTTCATCTGAAGAGTACGTATCATCATCGTCATTTTCATCGTTAATGAAATCGTCATCATTTATATTAGGAGCAAAATTCCTCTTAGCAACCACACTTGATTCACCAACTTCACCTAAAGTCGTCTGCATAGGTAAGGTGCCTAAGTCGACAACCAAGGTAAAATCAGTTGATTGAGTGTTGTTCACAACATCTATCTTATTGACAACACCGATACTTGGATGATTCCAAAGTTTTCAATGATGAAATTCTTCCACAACTCTCCAATTATTGTTTTGAGTGGGATCTTGGAGATAAAATACTTGTTTAACTTGTGTGGCAAAGATGTATTGTTGATCATCAAACCACGTTTTACCGACATACCATTCATGACTGGTATCGATAAGAATCATATTATTTATAGTCTTTAAACGTCCATTACGTAATGAGGCATTGAACCTTTTACCACGAAAGAGTACAACTGATTTATCATATAAATAATGCAACTCTATGATCTCCTCTAATTGACCATAGAATGGCGTACCTTCTTCTCCGAATGTAACAACACCACTATTTTGAGTAGTGCGTCGGAGATCACGACTATTCACGACGAATCGGACACCATTTACTATGCATGCAGTGTACGAATATGCACACAACGGACCATATGCCAACGCCTTTAGTTCGTCAGTACAGTCCGTAGGCACATCTTTTTAGAGACAATAAATCTGTAAGGAAATATAAGATTGTATGTTTAAGTAATAACTTAGTTTTACATTATAAATATATAACATACTTACCTTTTCTTTGAACCATGAACGAAATTCCTTTTTGAAATCACTTTCAGGCAATTCTAATTTGAATTCACTGAATATGGGACAAAATAATTAGAATAGTTAAAACACTATCGAAAAGGTAGTTAATAGATTAGAAACTTACAATTTGTAGTTTCTCATCTCATCCTCATCGCAATTGTTTAGTACAAACCAATGCAATGATTTTTTTGGCCTCGTTGCAAAGTTCAGCGATTTTATTAGCCGACATTGTTCAACATTGAGATGAGAAGACATAAAATTGCCTTTTTGGAAGGCCAGGATCATCATTTCTATTAGCACGGTTGAATTTAGTTTGCATACCATTAAGATACATAGAGCAAAATGTCAAAGCTTCGTCTGCAACATAACCCTCTACTATTGAACCTTCTGGTTTGGCTTTGTTTCTGACATAATTTTTAAGTTTTTTCATATATATTTCAAAAGGATACATCCATCTCATGTGTACAGGCCCTCTAAGAACGGCTTCATCAGGTAAATGAAGAATAAGATGAATCATTATGTCGAAAAATGCTGGAGGATATATCAACTCAAGATTGCATAAGATACTCACCACTTCTGTTCTGGCATTTCTCATGTCATTAACATCCAATGACCGTGCACAAATTTTTTTAAGGAATGTACACAGGTCAATGATTGTTCTTTAAACATTTGGTGGGAGACATGCTCGAACCCGATAGGTAGCAATCGTTGCATTAGGACGTGATGATCGTGACACTTCATCCCAACCAAAATTGATTCAGTATCATTAACCTTCTTCTTAAAGTTAGATCCAAAACCATCAGGTAGTCTCACTCCTTTAATGAATTGATAGAAACGTTGTCGATCAATTGGTTTGAAAGAGTAAGAAGCATGTGGGAGTATTTCCTTCTTCTTGTTTTCTTCCTTGTTGTGTTTCTTCATCTTCTTGACTTTCTCTTTTGGCCATTGATCTGGTCTAATGCCCATATTTTTCAAGTCAATTCTTGCTTCTTTTTTATCTCTGCTTTTATCGTTCATTAGTGCAGTATTCAACACACTCTCATTCACATTCTTTGAAATGTGCATAACATCGAAATTGTGTTTTAGGTTGAGGGAAGACCAATACTCAAGCTCAAAGAAGATACTTCGTTTTGCCCAATTTAACTCTCTTTTTTTCTTTGATCGTCGCGCTTTCTTTTTTTGCCCCCATAATCAGGATGTTTCCCTGGAATTCGATCAGAGAAAAAATTTACTTGCTTTAATATAGTTGCATTACTGAATCTTCTAGGTAGCGGTCTTGTCTTAGGTTGACCATCAAACAATAGACTCTCCCTCCAACTATGGTTTATATTCAAGAATCGTCTGTAACCAACATAAGACATCTTGTTGGTCACATAAATGGAAGATGTGTCTTCGTTACAACTAGGGCATGCTAAATAACCTTGACCACTCCATCCAGACAGACTATTACGTGCTGGGAAATCATTGATAGTCCATAAAAACATCGCACACATATTGAATACAGTGTTGGTGTATGCATCTCTCATTTGGACTCCTTCGACCCACAACATTTTCAACTCATCTACCAAAGGCCTCAAGTAAACATCAATGTCCTTTGTGGGTGATCTAGGACTAGGAATCAGCAAAGTTAGCATGAAAGAAGACTCCTTCATAAATATCCATGGTGGTGTATTGTAGGTAGTCAATATAACCGGCCAAATATTATAATTGTTATTAAAGTTGTCGAATGGATTAAAGCCATCAGCAGCTAAACCTAGACGAACATTTCTAGGTTCTTTGGAAAACTCTGGATATCTCTTATCAAATTCTTGCCATGAATTCCCATCTACTGGATGATACATCATACCATTCGTTGATCTTCCAGTATTATGCCAAATCATATCTTTAGCTGTGAATCTGGAACTATACATCCGTCGAAGTCTTGCAGTCAAAGGAAAGTACCGCAACACTTTTTGTGGTACTCGCTTCCCCTTTGTGGTTGTGTCCACCCATCTACCCTCGTTACA